AAGTAAGGCCTACCCTGAAAATAAGCCCTAGCTAGATTTTTGGGGATGGGCCTAATATAAGCCCTACTTCAAAAATAAGCTCTAGTTTGCGGTGAGGCACAAACTTAAAAATCAAGCTAGGATGGGGCGGGGTGTGTAGATTTGCCCTATGCCAGGGGTAGGTAACCCAAAACACTCAAAGAGCCACTTGGACCTGTTTCCCACCGAAAATAAAACACTGGGAGCCGCATTTGATATCTAAAATGAAGATAACACTACATATATCCTTTTTTACATTTATTATATATATATATCTCTCTTTCTGCCCTTGATCTACCAGCCCTCACTCTGTCTGTGTGTGAGAGAGAGGTGGGGGGGCACTTGTGCTTCCATCCTCCCGCTCTCCGTCTCCCTCTTTTTCTTTCTCCTCCCTCTTTCTCTCTTTCCTCTCCCCCTCCCTCTCTCCTCTCCCTCTCTCTCTTTCCTCTCCCCCTTTCTCTCTTTTTCTTTTTCTCTCCCTCCCTTTCCTCTCCCCCCCTTTCTATCTTCCCCCCCTCTCTTTCTCTCTGCCCCCTTCTCTCTCCCTCTCTCCGATCTTCTGCTCACCTGGCAAGCTGGCTTCAAGCTGTTCTCCAACAGGCTGGCTCTCTCCTGCCCTTCCTGCTTCCTGCAGAGATGCAGACAAAGCAGGAGCCCCACCCAATAAGCTTGTCAGCCTGTCGGAGAATACAGTGAGGCCACTCTTTTTTATATACAAACACACATATACATACAGAAAGAGAGAGAGAGAGAGAGAGAGAGAGAGAGAGAGAGAAGGGAAGTGCAAGTGCCTCTCTGTGTGTCTGTCTCTCTCTCTGCAAATGGTAGAGGAGGCTGGGAGCCACAGGAGAAGGTTCAAAGAGCCACATGCAGCTCTGGAGCCGCAGGTTGCCGACCTGTGCCCTAGGCACCCCACATCCACTTACCTTGCAGCCAGGTCTCTCCTCACCGGCCCATTTCTTCTGAGGCATCTTCTGCAGCCAGGCCTGCATTTCTCAGCCACAGGCCTTTCCTGAAAGCCTGTGCAGCTGACAACTGAGCTATAGATTCAATCCATAGCTTGGTTCTGCAAGACATCTGCAGCCAAGGACCAAGCTATGGATTGAATCAGTACTCGGCTGCATAGACCTTCCAGAAAGTCCTGACTGCAAAATGCAGTCCAGAATGCAGCTGCATAATGAAGCTACTCCTTCGGCCCCAGAAGAAGTGGACTGGCTGGGTGGAGCTGTCAGTGCCGGAGGTAAGACATCCCCCAAAAGTAAGACCTGGTGCCTCTTTTGGAGGCAAAAAAAAAAAAGACCCAGTCTTATTTTCAGGAAAACACGGGCACATGCTGCTTTCTCCTCCTAGGAGAAACAACAAAGAATAGGAAAAAAATGGAGTAAAGGGAAAGGAAGGAAAAATAGGAACTGAGCTATCTGGAAATGAGGTGAAGATTAGAGCCAGAGACAACTGGACAGACAAGGAAATAAATTCACCAAGCTAACAGTCCTTTCACAATTAACAACTAATCTTCAAAGGTATCCATGTTTTGCAGCAGTAATGCCCACAACCATTTGCATCTCTGATGTCTATTCATCTTAGTTAATATAAAATTACCTTTCACCTCAAACCCACAATACTTTACAACTTATTTCTACTGGCAAACAGGTTTATGCATTTTTGTCATAGTTCCCTTAACTGTTTTTGGCTCCAAATCTTTCAGAATGGTTGAAAAAATAATAAAGTCCATCACTAGGCACCATAGCATTCTGATGTTGCCTAGGATCATAATTATTTATATATTGCAATCAATGGACAAATTACCTTTTGTGGGAGACAATTTTGGACATTTTTTCTATATAACTCATTTTAAAGAAAGTTTGTTAACAATAATTTCTGACCCTGAGTTAAATTTTGTCTTTATTAGATAAATTACATAATGATCCATACCAAAAGGTCACAACTGGGAATAACAGAAACTTGCATCTCTTTACATCAGCACCCACTACATCTTCATGTATCAAAGCATTTCTATTTCTAATTTTATTGGGATAAAAAAGACACTTTTCATATCATATAAAAACAGAAAAGTTACCATTATATACACAAAACATATATAGGGCTAGATTAGGAGGAACAATTCCATAAATACATGAAGTTTATAAAACTGCCAAAAATATGTGAGAAGGTAGATTTCTCTGTAGAGATTATATCTATGCCATTATAATTTAAACAAGATTGCAACCTTATTCTTATGGCTGTGCAATATTTATTTATTCAAATTTCATAGCCACCCATCTCCATCCAACTGACTGATTAATATGAATTTTTTCTATTGTAATGGCCATTTGGCTATAGCATTCACTGCTCTTTTAACAAAAATAAATTGCTTTCAATGCTTCAGATTCAAGAATGAAATGCTCAGAAAGAAATGGATATTTTTACAAGTTTTTTTTACAAATTAATTATATTGAATTATTTGCCCTGAGAGTGCCCAGATGGAAGCATTTGCAAGTTCAAGCCTACTTAATCAGTCTGTAACTCTTAAGAATTCACACTGTTTTTGTGTTAATCCTGGGCTGATTATTTTGTTTTGTAATAAAACAAAATTTGCATGGATGTAACAGCAGTTGGGGGCCTAAATTAGCAATGATCTTTTATCTCCTCAGTCCCAATAAGGTTATCTTTCCTACTTAGCTGCACTGGGAATGCCATCATTAAGAATCTGTCTTAGTGAATAGAATGGTACTCTAATCAATGTGCCAATTTAAATGTGTCTCTGAATCAGCAGCACACTGGGACACTTATTCTGGCTATCTAGCTTTACAAGAGAAGCAGACAGAATCACACTATCCATATCAGATATAAGAAATACAAATTTAAATACACTTCCACCAAGGAAACCAGTGATAACAAGCCGTTTTCAAATAGCATGGTCAAATATTAAATTTTACCATGTACCAGAATGGGGCAGGATACACAAACCAAACACATCCACTCACATATACTAGGGAGAAACAGGAAATCAATGATCAATGCAATGAAAGACTTAACAAAAAAAGAGAATAAGCAAAGAAAATAAGTAGGAGAAAAGCATGGTTTGTGGAATATATATCTATATATATATATATGGTAAAGAATAAAATGAACACCAGGGTAATAAAAAACTATAAAAGTTTAATTAAAAAGCGCCAAGCTTTCGCCGTCACCTGCCGGCATCCTCAGGGCTAGTGCGCCAGAGTAAGAAAGAACAAACTAGCCGCATGCAATTGAACCAATTAGGCCCGATGACGAGATCGAGGAGCCGGGCGCAGACTTTGACATGCCTATAAAAGACTCTCTCACTCTCTGGCGCACTAGCCCTGAGGATGCCGGTAGGTGACGGCGAAAGCTTGGCGCTTTTTAATTAAACTTTTATAGTTTTTTTATTACCCTGGTGTTCATTTTATTCTTTACCATGAATACCCCCAGGGTTCATATTTTTAACTATATATATATATATATATATATATATATATATATATATATATATATATATATATATATATATTACAATTTACAATTTTCCCAAAAATTGTGGGAAAGAACATAAGGATCACTTCAGTTGGTATATAGCTACTTTACTACCAATTGGTGAACATGGAACTAATTTTTACTACTAGGTGGTAAATCTTATATGGATGTAAGCTTTGAAAGAAAATTCTGTATTTTTTGAGGGTCAAGGTAAATGATTATCCACATGATTTAAAAGTGTGATTAGGCTAGCTACCCCTTTGTTTATCAGGCTTCCAAATCACGGTCTTGGGGAGGAACATTGTGTCCTTGTCCACATTTCATCTTGCTGAAAATCTCTTTCCAAAATGACTGAAGGTGGGATTTCCATCAACAAAACAATGTTGGAAAAGATGTTAATGCTCTATCCCTTACTTTCAGTCCTAATTGAGATCAGGAAGCTTGCATCTTTAAAAAAATGCAAAGAGATATCACCTAGCCATTTTTTAATTAATGCTTTTAGCTGTATTTATTCTTTCTTGTTTTCCCTATCAGGAAAAATATATAAAAGGAAGATTCAATTCCTAGCCTTACAATGATGTTATACATCAGTCTTCTACAAACTGCTGATTCAGATGATACACCTTCTCATATCTTCTCCAACCAGCGTTATACCTTGGTCACATAACAATTCCAAAACATAGAAGGACTTTATCTTTGGCCAGATTCAATGTCCTGCCAATAGTTGTTACTGAAGGGAGACATTAAAAAATCTCCTTCGAACATAGATTGTGTCCATGCTGTGAAGAAATAATTGAAATGATGGAACAAATTATTTTGTATTGTTTCCTCTACGAAATGCTCACTTGGAATTATGATGTCTATTCTTTATTAAACTTCTGGGTTGTTCTGATTTGTTTTAGCTTACATTTTTATTATCAGATCAATCTGATTTTATTTCTTTACAGCTAAGAACTGTTCTAAGTTTGTACAGTACTCCAGGTTTGTTTTCCTAATCCTCCTTAGATGTTTTAAAGCATTTTTTTTCTTGTTATCCTAATTAATTGCAATTTTATTTTATTTGCTGGTCTATGATTGAATAAAAATTTATTGATTGAAACTATAGTTTCTATCATTCTGATCATCATCAGTTTACGAAAGACTACAGGCTGAAAGAAGAAAGATACAGAATGAGATGAAGAGTATAAGACAAAAAGAAATTGGATTTTTTATAGTTTGCCAAGTTATAAGATATAAATAATTGTAACCCAAATAGCATAAAAGCCATAGTGCACTTCTCTAGAGAACTGGCCTTCTATTTTATAGGATGTAGGAGAAACCTATACTGAGGAGAAAAGAAGTTAAACACAATCCTATCTTCTTTGAATCTATCTATTACTGGACCAAGAACCATTGCAAATGCCTCAAATTAGACTTCACAACAATTTTTTTTCGCTTTTTACTAACTCCTTACCCCAAAGATGTTTTCAATAGAGATGGTTTTGTAAAAAGAATAAGAGAGAAAAGAAAATTCCTCTTTCAAAGATATACAAGTTAATCAGTCCAAGATATCAGTCTCTGTCAGGAGAAAAAATAACTTTCTAGCACCAGCATGAACATTCTTTTTACTTGGAAGCAAATAATTCACCACTTGCTATACACCAAGTCACTGTCTCCTATTAGTACAATGAAACTTCCACAGATCTGGAAGGGTTTTTAAGAAAAAAAAAAAGGGGGGGGGACAAGATATCATTCAATGTCTGATGAAACTATTCCTCTAAGGTTAGGAAGCAGCAATAGCTGTGCCACCACTTAGTTTCACAATCATCTGCTGACAGTCATTGCAGGAACGCATGTCGCCAACCTTCTCCAGTGTACGAGCTGCTTCTGCAAGTAGGACAGCACGCTGGCCCGGAGATGACAGAAAAGACAGGGGGAGGTAGCGGCAGGCTAACAGAATTGCTGTAGCTCGTTCTCTTTGTCCAGGAAGAACATCCAACTCACCTAAATATGAAAAGAAAAGACTAACAATAAACAACTCAGTAATGGATATGCAGTCAACATGTTGGGCAATAAATGTATTGTAGAAGTTACTGAAATAACTTCACCTCAAGTTTTCTGCTAGAACATTCCAATTTTGCTGGATTCTGACAATGACCAAATGTTTCATTTGTTGAGACAAAACTCAGTGTAGGCTTAGTATTGTAGTTACTAAAAAAATGGTACTTGGCATAAGCCTCTTGTTTTTAATGTCAAGATTGATTAAAAGGATAACATTTGAATAGTCAAATTACACCATCTCACCCAGCTAAAAATACTATTGCATGCAATTAATATAGGACCTCTTCTTTTGTGGTGTAATGAGTGCTTGAGAACAGAGTGATTTCTTTGGGCACAGAACAAAAAAAATCCTCCCAAAAAAGCTATCTATCTTTGGTTCTGAATGTAAAAAAAATACCAAAAATGGTTGTAATATATCCAAGAATAATTCAGGCTTGAAGCATTAGGTGCCTCTTATCTACATCTCTCTCAAAAAAAAAAAAAAAAACCAACATAGGTAAACCAGAAATTAGGACCAAACTTAAAGCAGCCAATTTTCCAAATGTAGCAACCTTGTCCTTTAGATAAGCACTTTTACAATTAAGCATAACCCACAGAAACATTAATATTTGTTGTTGTTGTTCTAATATGTTTAAATATGTGAAAATCTATGAAGGAAGGTATGTTTCCCATTATCAGTTCCCACTCCTCTAAATCTTATCAGTAGTTTGTCCCATTACATCCCTTCCTGTTTAGGAGATAAGAAAGAGAAGACCACAAGAACCGACTGACCTTGCTTGGTATTCTGTGGGGTCCGACGTCTGAGACTATGCTCCAACAGCTGATGAGTTCGTGTGGGGCTGGCTCCTGCCATCAAGCGCACAGTGGCCTCATGCAGGAAAACCTAGAAAAGTAGAAAAAAATGGGATGTCATGGATATATATCTTTAATAAGCAGACTTGAAACAATCATTTCTTACATGTTGGCCAGATGTCCAAAACTGTGATGGACATTTTATAGATTTTAAAGTTTGTCTTTTATCCACCTTCATTCTCTTGGCAGATTCACCTACTCTCTGTGTATTTTGTCTGTTCTGTTTCTGTATTCCCTCCCGCAGAATTACCATAGCTGAGCTGCAAAAATCTGGACAAAATGGTGGCAGAGTCTTAATGTTCTGTATATCTTTGCTGACATCTAGCGGTCATTAAAATTGCACAGCCAATATATTGTGGTAGCCCAACTCTCCCATAGCAGATGGCCTGGCGCAGGTGCAAGGCTGACTTAGCTGGCCTCTAAACAGTTCATGTTGAGAAGACTGAAGAATCTGGGTGGCAATTTATTCCCCTGGGGGATGAGAAAGAATAAATGGTGAGCCATACACCAACTTTTAAAACCACTATCCTCCTTTCTTAAGAGCATTTTAATGACCACCTTATCTGGCAACGCTGCTAACATTGGATCTTCCTGCTCCAACAACTGATGAACATGGAGCCATTTTCTCTTTTCATTTAACATGCTTTTTCTGGTATTTAGAAATTAGGTGCAGTAAGGGGGTTGGGATGAGAACTCAGCTCAGCTACCCATTATAATAACTCTACTTTGTGGGAACTCAAGGACAAGCTGATAAGGTTTTGGCTGGGCTGAGGAGCTGGGGAGAAAGCCTGTGTTTTAGGCTAATTGGAGAATGTTATTTATGACAGCTTATTAAGGGTGGGAATTGCACTTTGTTATTTTGTATCTGGGGGAAGGGAATTTAGTTTTTGGGTTCAGCTATGTAGTGCTGATACTTTGTTTCCCAAATAAAATGTTCTTTAAGGAAGAATTTTGCCTTGAAGTTCTTTTGATGAGTTTCATCTATCGGAACCATGACGTTATCCTTTTAACCGCTTTCTGCTTTAAACCAATGTAGAAAAAGTAAAAAGCTAGGAAATTCTCAGCTCATATCACAACTATATCACAAAAATAAGCCCAATGTTGTGGAACAAAACATGCGCGCGCACACACACACACACATAAACACAAATATAATTATAGAATTGTTTTAAGGATGTAAAATAATATGAAATATTTTAACTTTCAGAAAGTATCATCATAATTTCATGCACAAGGAAAAAAAACATCTAGGTATCATGAGCAAAGCTTATAATAATAGTATATCCAGAAGAAAATGTATGATAATAAACACTGCAAACAATATTAAAATATTTATGAAAAATAGATTCTGGCAGAGCAATTTGTTCTTCTGGCTTACAATACCATGCAAGCACTCAGGAGAAAACAAATATGCAAATATGAAGAAAGCCAACATTTTCTCCCTCTGAAATTCTCTGAATACCATCCATATATTTTTACACACACACACACACACACACACACACACACACACACACACCCCTACCTCTCTCTATCACATTTTTTACAAAGTTAAAAGACAAATGCAAAAAAAGGAAAAAAGGGGAAAAGGTGTTTAAAACAATAAAAAGACAAGGAAAAAAAATATTAAAAGCAGCTTCCAATCTTTACAGCAGTTATAGACCTACTTAATATCATTTCCCCCTTTCAGGATTACAAAACGTTAATTCCCTCCTCCCCATATACAGTCCTTTTTAATAAGTAAATCCAGAAATTACCACTTCATTAATAACCACTTTTAGCAAGAAGTCCACAGAGGGCTTCCAACATTACAAATTCTTACCTTTCGATAAGCAAGCCTGAAGCTATTTGCTAGTTTTCGCAGGCTGCCAAGATCACGCTGGAAGCCAGTCAGCTCAGAAGCAGAAGCATGGTGCGTGTCTCCCAAAGCTAGACTAGAGTTTGTCTGTTTCTGCCACAGAGTGGTACGGAGGGATAACAGTAGATCACAAGCCAGCAACTGGATCATCTAAAGAGACAGAATCTCGTTCAGCATCAAGAATACTAAAGTATTCAAAAAACAGTAATGGGGGGGGGGCATGTTGGCAGTAATTCTGCTTGAAAATTTCTGGTGGTCACAGTCAAAATTTCAGACAACCACATATGGCCCAGGAATCCCAAAAACTATGTCCAAGTTACCAAAATGCACAACAGTTTTTAATAATAGTCATTATCATTATTATATATTATTGCATTATTATAGTAAACATAGATTTATTATAAAACTAAACAATAAACAGGAATTTAAAAAGTATCAGTTAAATTAGAATATAGAAAAAAAATAAGCAGCCACATTAAAAACCTAGACAATTCTAAAGGAATTAAATAGGTAACCTCTTTACAAAAATGATAGATAAAACAGATCCTATGAAAATATTAACAGTATGTAACTACTTAAATCAAATAAAATTAAGCAATATGCAACATAAAAATCAAAGAGGACTTTCACCAGGGCCAGTCCTTAAGCTCCAAGTCCCCAATCAAAGGAGCACCCCTATTCCCCAGAGTCAAAAAAGATTTAAGCTCAGATTTAAAGTCAGAAAACCAGTATCTTCAATTGTGTTAAAAAAAAATCCAAGCCAGTGTACATCTAAGAAGATATCTCAAAGACATTGCTGCCAAATAATATTAAACTTCTTTATAATACATATAACATTGCTTAATTATTATTTGTTAACCAATTTTTGCTTCCTGTTTAATTAGTGCTTTGTGAAATTCTACTTTTAGAACAAATTAGAAATTTAGAATATAGTGAAAGCATTATATTCATCCTGAATTGCATTAAGAAGAGACAGTTGAAAAATTGATTTATCTGTGCATATATTGAAAACATATCCTAAAGAAATGTGCATTTGACTCAACAATTCCTCAGAAACAGAAAGCAATACAATGTTGGATCAAAATAAAAATGGCATAAAGCATCAGTGGTCACAGAATTAAAATGTTGCACAATCTCTGATGACAAAATAATGCTTTATAAGAAGCATACAACTTGATTAATTTATTTTTTCAAAATACAAGCCATAAGCAAAGTGTTAAATACAGTAGAGCAGCTATATGTTTGCCTTTTCTTTGCCTGGTATTCTTTGGATTGTTTTCCTGAGCCCTTTCAATCTACAATATTGATTCTGCATGTTATTCCTTGCACTTGTTCTCTTTTTGGGGGTAGAGTAATCCATATTTCACTGATTAATCATAAGAGGGTTGATGAATTAAATAGTCCTTCCTACCTTTGGATGATGGGCTAGATTAAATGGCCTCTTAATTCATATAAAGTTCCTAAGAATTCCGTCCGATACCAATGAAAACCAAGGATCAGGAGACTTGACTTGTAGTGCAGAGATCAGGTATGCCTCTGAACTGCACTGCAGAAACATTGCATGAGTATTTCCAGAACATGCAATGCAACTACAATGCACTACAGTTGCCACCCAATAGGTATAAAGAATCTGACTTTACGAAACCTTCATGCTTATGAAACTCAAAGTGCACTTAGTATTAAAAACAAAGATAGGAAGAAAGAGCCAATTTCATGATGCAAAAATTGAGAACTGTTCTTAACTATGGAAATCCATATCCTTGTTCTTCTACAGTATGAAAATAATTCATTTAGGATGCATAATTCAATAGAAAAAAGAATGGGTCAAGCAAGCACTTGTCCTGTGCACTGTGAAAGATGCTATCCCACCTGCCTTTCCTTTGGAAACAGGTACAGTGCACTGTATGTATTAGCTGCACTGGAGGAAGGCAAAAGAAGGAAGAAGTTCCTTCATTGATTCATGGGTGAATAAGAAGAAATTAAAGACATTTCACAAAAAAAATGGTTTAATAGTTATCTTAATTCAAGTAAATGTGTATGGCTTACATTGTTGAGACTTGTGCTTGAGATCCCACTTCTCATATTGAGACTGTTCCAGAGATGAGTGCTAGCTCTTTCACAATGATTAAATGAACTATGCTGCCCATCTGCCTTGCTAGACAACAGGACATTCATGGCTTTGCATACATGGAAGATAGCTCTTACAAGGGCATTCCTAGAGGCATGTAGAGAGAAGACACATAGCAAGGAAAATGATTAATGTATTTTAAGTTTTGTGAACAGTATATTTATTTGTATCCTGCCTTTATTATTTTTACAAGTAATACCAGGTGGAAAAAATATCCAACATACCTGCCTCCTCCTATTTTCTCTACAACAACAACCCTATGAGATGAGTTGGACTGAGAGAAGAAACTGGTCCAAAGTCACCAAGCTGACTTTCATAGCTAAGGTGGAACTAGAACACAAACCCCTTTTTTTAAAATGTATTTTCAGATACTTTGTTATGTATACTGCTTTGGTATATATAATCCCCAAAAAGTGCTAAGATAAGCCCTATAAATGAATTATCACTAGATAATGATGCAATAGTAGTATAGTAGATTTCTAAACTGATATTTTGCATTTACTACTTCTAGGCAAACTTGGGATATCCAATTCTGTAAAGGTTTGAGTTAATTTAGAAACTATTTGAAGAAACAAGTTATAATTTAGTTTCATGGTACCCAACAGAGAGTTGTGATATATTTATAGGAGATCAAATTAAAGATTAGGAAACTTGCTATTTTATTATGCCCCTTTTAGATTTCAGATATCCAGTTGTACAAATAATATAAAAGACCACATACTCCATCATTTCCAAGCATTTAGGAATTCGTTCTACGTTGATAAACTGAGATTTCACAGCTGTATCATCACCCTTGATCCAGCTGATTATCATTGTGATTGCTGATGACCACCATCTGCAGACTACATCAGGACCTACAAAAAATGAAAGATCCTTAAGGGCCTTATATCTCTCTCTCCAAAAAACAATCCCAGCCTTTTAAAATATGAATTCAGTCCAGGAAACAAAAAATAGAGCCAAGAGGTAACAATGGGAAAATGTATATTTAACTATTTCTTCATTCTGTTGTTCTATAATCCATTTTCAATCTTGTGGAATTATTCATAATCTTGAGGTCATATTGTGGATGTTGAAACAAAATAGCTACTAAAGGGTTTCTCCATTCATAGATCGCTGGCAAAGCAATCATCTGTCTGTCTCACAAAATGCTACCTATTACCCCTGCTAACTCTTATTTTCTGGGCAGGTGAATACATTTCCAAACAAAGCATAAGCAGTAACCAATCTTATTTTCTAAGAAAGCTTGTGGGGATTTATGAAGGATCAAAAAGTTATTTATTTATTTATAAAATTTATAGGCTGCCCATCATACTTCAAGGTAACTTTCAATGTTTCGAAGTTATCTTTGAAATAAAGATTATGTTAAAGACATTTTGCTGGCTTATACATCAATTTCCCATTTTACTGTATTTTTTTAATGTAAAGTATTTGCATTAAATGAGTGAAAGTATGATGCCTAGCAGACAGCCTATGTGTTTGAAGGCCCACTAGTACCCCAGAGGGCAATAATTTCAGTCCTTGCTGCACTTCAAAACTTGCCACATAAAGAACTACAGGAGGAAGACAAACTAAAATAAGAAAATTATAAACATGTGTACATCATTTCACCATTCTATCTGAAAGCAATATTTAGTCTCAATTAAATATCCTGAGCCATTTAATCAATCAGATGATACCAGGACCACAAAACAAAGGATGCATAAGCTTGGAAAGCAAAGCCTTTGAATTACCCCATTCAAGACTTGAACAGCATTCCAGGAATCTGAATAATATGACACCATTTGCTCATATGAGGAAACTGCTGTAAAAGATCATTTCCAGATACTGACTAGCACTATCCAGATCTTACTGGAAATGTAAAGCATCATTATCATCAAATGAAATCTTCTTTATAGTAGGCTTACTATCTAATCCAGGCATGTCAAACTGCTGGCCTGTGGGCTGGCTGCGTCATGCTGAAACTGTGCCCACCCCATTGCCGGAAATGGGGGAAAAGTCACAATATGTTGCGCGACGTCATGTGACATCGCGAGTTTGACATGCCTGATCTAATCACTGGAATAAATGGAAGGGTTGTGAGAAGTGGTCCAAGTAAATCTACTCTTGGACCAAGGTGTGTTATACCACAGATAAGGGTATTCCCTTTTTTGTTGTAGTCAAGACACAATCTTGAACCTTGGCCTGCAGAGCTAAGAGCCAAACACCTGCTGCTGTTTCTCACATATGGGCTGTTTGGCCCATTAATAAGAGTGAAAACAAACATCTGACCAAGTCAGAACAAACCTACAATAGTAATCAAGGCAAGTATACTAATCAGTACCTCCTCCTAGATTAAATACCTTCTTTATTTATCTTATATAGATACTTTGCTCTTAAAGTCACTAACTAGAATTTACATTAAGCTCCTGGTTGAATTACTAATTTTTACAGAACATTCCAAAAAAATTCAGAAAGCAGGTTGTCATAACATTCATCTTCAGATCACAGCAGGGAAGATATACTGATTATTATGCTTTCCTAGAGGAAAAGTATGTGATTTATTGAATCATTAAACATTTCCCTGTGTTAATGTGACTAGCATGAATAGTGATAATTGTAATAAACAGGGGTATGTCCATGACGCAAAACAAAAGCAAAAAAAAAAAAAAAAGGGGGGGGGGGGAATTGGCCAGATCTATTGTTTCTTTCATTTCTTCAATAAGACTGTAGTTGTTTCTTTTTAGCATTAGAAAGAGCTATTAGACTGAAAAAACATGCACTCTACCAATATTTTAGAAATATATATATTGGTCAGATATATAATTGATCAAATATATTTAATCAAATAAATTATATAATATAAATGTAAAATATATGGAAAGAGTCACTACGAGCCACCTTGAACTGTGAGATGGGCAAGAAATTTAATAACAATTCAAACATCCATATCTGCCTATCCCAGATCTATGGGAAGGACTCAATAAGTGGATAAAAATCCAGTCTAAACATCTGGCTGACTGTGCAATGAACTATAAATAGTAATAATAATAATAATAATAATAGTAATGTAAATGGAGATAAAAGCAGAGGCACCAATAGTTCTGCAGAAATATCATTTCCATCAAGCTATTCTATCAATTATCACCCAGCAGCATGGCTGAAATAATGATGTAAGTCAGCTGCGACTCAGGCTTTGTTGTTTTTTTAAATCCAATTAGTGTTATTAAATTATTGCCATAATGTTGTAAATTAGTGCTGAGTTTGCTTTCTTTCCTTCCTTCCACCTTTTTCTTCGATGTTGTGTTTAGTTGTTAACTACATTGCATGGAAGCAATGTATTATTAGTGATATGTGGGTCTCTCTGATAAACCTTGAAACTGAACAGTGGATAAAAAAGCAAAATTAAATATAAAAGATTTAACACAATACCAACTCAGCACTGAATAAGTGGAGATATATTCAGGATGAGAGAGAAAAGAAAGACAAAGAGAGATAAGTCAAGCATGAAAACCACTGAACTTGTATCTTTCACACATACCTAGGGCAGACTTCAGCACAGAATTTCCAGAAAAGGGTGGTATCCCACTTCCCAAAGAATCCACAAAAGAACTTAGTAATTTCAAGTAGTCCAAAGCATTAGCAAATTCACTGCAAGGAACAGTACAAAGTCAGACTCTTAGTAGTTAGGACAATGTATCATATTCTTACAATGACTCACAACAAACTAAAAGTTGTATTTTAAAAAACCTTTTAAGACTGACCCCCTGTACAAAGAAAAGGTATCACATTCACATCCACATTCTGATAGGCAACCAATGTTACCATGGTAATCTCATTCTTGTAGCACAGTGATAATTTTTTTGTGTGGCTTTCTCCAGAGATAACTTAATGATGAATCTTGCCATGAACATTTCAATAAGCATAGCCAAGATCAGGGGTAGGCAACCTTGGCTCTTTTATGACGCGTGGATTTCACATGTCATAAAAGAGTCAAGGTTGCCTACCCCTGGCCAAGATGGTAAAATTAAATAATGTTGGACTTCAATCCCAAATAATTTGATCAATGGATGGGTATGATAGCAAATGTCAATAAACTTCTTACTGTCCACCATGGTACAGGCTCTTATTTTTTATGTTAATCTGTTTTTTTTGTAATTTGGACAAACTAGAGAAATTGTACTTTGCCATATATCCAATTAGTACTATGGATGGGTACAATCTAAGTGATGTATTATGAGAGAAGCAGTACTCATATAGGCACGTCCTGTATTCTGTTACTTAAAATTAGGCAGCTGAAATGTATATTGCCATTCTTCCTCCAATGTTGAACTAATGGTTTTATTAGAACAGACAAGCTGAATCCTTCAATATTTCCAAGAAAACTGCCAACAACACTCAAATGTGGCTCACCAAGGTGTCTCATCATCATGGCTTGTAGCCCCTTTGGGAATCTGAGGATTCACAATGGATTCAACAGCTCTCTCCAATAGGTTCTCACAGAATGCCTGGTGTACCTGTGCAATGGGATCAGCTATATATGCGAAGGCAAAACAATCAGTTACTACTTTATTCACAAGTCCAACAATAAATACTTTGGGAATGTAAGCCTTTCTTTTGTTGTTTTTAGATAGAAAACTATATTGCAGGAAGAATGCTGGTTTATGGAAAACTGTCCTCTTTATTGCTTTCCCATGTTCTTTTAACATTAACAGTTTTTAAACCAAAGCATGTATAAAGCTAGCAGGAGAAAGAAAATGCATACACATAAGGACTGTCCACCATACTGAGGCTTAAAGGAAGTATCTTCTCTAGCTACTGATTTTCACCTGGGTTCCTCTGAGTGGAGTACAGACTATCCTTAGCAGCAGCTTTCACTGTCCAGCTCCGTTCCACAAAATATTTCTGCCCCAAAGGATGGCACAACCAGCGTAAGGAATCAGGGATGTCACTGTGCTCAGAAGTACACAAGCTCTGAGCTTGATTTAAGAAATAACTCTGAGAAGAAAACATGCAATATTTGATTGAAAGTTAGAAATCCATGGATGAAAATTTTAATATACCAACACAGAAGTCACTTTCATTTATTTTAGATGTAAATCCAGAAAGATAATTTAAATATGCCACAGTATTTAACTTAATACAGGTAGGCCTCGCTTAGGAATCCCTTGAATTTACACTCATACTCTGTAGTGCCTTTCCATGGCACACACCTTTCATAACATCCACACACAGCACAGGCCTGCCCCTATTCCATAGGGCCTACACATGGCATCCAACCACATGCATGTACTTCTTAATGCCCACCCATCCATTTGCCTGGGATGCAGTTTCAGTAGCATAAAACAGACCTTCTGGATTCCTGTCTCTTCCCATGTCAGTCATGTGAGGTCCTCACTTAACAAAAGGAATGGAGACTAATGAAATTGCCTTCACTAAATGATACATACTGTGACATCGGACTTTACAACTGCATTGTTTAGCAATGGAAATTCTGTTGTTAAGTGAAGACTGCCTGTCCTGCTAAGTGGTTCAAAATAATCCACGCACCGCCAGGAAGCCCAGCTTGCCACCACAGCGAGTTTTCAGGCCAACTGCAGCAGTTAGATGAATCTCTGCCAGTGTGCTTGGTGAAATCTTCTCCTCTGCACATTCTGCCAGGTTTACAGCACACAATGCCATGTGCAATCCTGAGTACGCTGAACTGGACGGAAGCTCACCTGCACCAGAAAATTTAAAAATATCATTTGTACCCTGTTGTGAATCACCTTGTACAAGTGATGCACTGCATGGTTTCATCTGGAAAAGCTCTTTTAGCTACTGAAATTTAGTACCATTCATATATTGTGGTATTGCACAATATCTTATTGTGCAAAATCTTGCATTATCAAAAACAAGGAGCACTCTGTAGACTTTAAGATATAAAATTATTAAAAAGCAAAGCTTTTCCTTATTTTGCAAAGAAAACTACATGAAGTAGGCAGGCATCAGGAATCAAACTTAATCTGAGGAATCTTTACCTTTTAAACCACTGTTAATTTTTTTTAATCTACCTGTAATATGGAGTTGATGAAGTTTATGATACACTAATGCTGCATCTCGCGCACTGGTTTTGGCTTCATCTTCAAAGCCAAGAGGAGTCTCAGTTGCTCGTCTCTGCTGTGATGTCCTCTTTAGCAGCCAACGTACTAACCCCAATTTTTGGAGACTGTAACGAATAATGTTCCAGGAAAGGCTACAGATCAAGTCAAAACGAGAAGTAGGCAATGCTCTGCCCAGGGTAGAAAGACAGATCTGCAAATTTGATGCAGCAGCAGCAAAGTCCCCCTGCAAACAAAAGTAGTAAAACACAGGCTAAAGTTGAAAAGTAGACCTTTGAGAGTCTCATCACTTCCTAATTTTCAGACTATTCTGAGTCATTTTTGAAGATATAAATTTTATTCTCCACCTTCACTCATTTTTAAGCTTTAATTTTTTTTGAAAACCTCATTTATCATTCAGATTTTGGAGAGTCTAGTTAACGACATTTGTCTCCTTAGCCATCGATAAACCAGCTAAATTGCCATCATGTTTCAATATACCATAGACTTTTTCTCGCTTCCTCATCCACATCAACTTACTTGAACCATGACATATCTGAAACACCAAAAATCTGGATCTGTATTACCTTGAAATCCTGCTGTTAATCCTTCAGTTAAACTTCAAGTCTCAGTCCACTTAAACAAATATTCAGCCAAAATAATTTACTCCTTCTAATTAAAACCAGCATTTAGACACAGAAAACAGTGTTCCACTCAAAAAGAATAAAAAAGTTTTCTCTTGCCTCACCTTAGCTAAATCCAGGTCTGCCTGTTTCCGATGCCGCCAAAACGTCACAGAAGAACGGGAATGCAGTCGTATCACTGGCTCTCCATGCACTAACAGTTTTATGAATACACTCAAGATAATAACACCGTTCACAAGCCACAAGATCAAAGTGGGCATCATCCAGCCAAACCAGCCACCTGATTCTAACAGAATTATTCAGGCCAAAAGACATAAATCAGACAAGAAATAACAGTTCACATCTTAAGATAAGCATTCTTGGGAGAACCTTGATTATATAAAGATCATGCTAAAAAAGAAGTCAACTTGCTTTCTGCTCATCCTATTTATTCTCCCCTGAAATAGTACTGTTCCCATGCAGAACTCCTCCCCCCCAAGTATATACATACAAGAAAATATCATTTTACATAAGATAGAGATGTTTACATAAGATAGAGACACAACATACATAAGTCACACCTTCTCCAAAATAAGAACCTAATATGATTCAATCCATCCCTCATAACAAATACACGTATGCTACAATTTAAAAAATCTGAATGATATACAGCACACAGAAACACTAACAAAATCCTCACAAATGCACAGTAAAATTTCAATTCATTAAAGAAACCTAGAAATGTACATCTCAAAAGCTCACAATCCTTTTGCGCATAAGTACCCATTAACTGGGTCAGAGAAATGAGAATGATATTGATAGTAATATCCAGCCAATTATTTATTATCACAATAAAATTGTAACCACCTTTTAAAACAGAATACTCCAGAATATATCATTACCCAACTGACCATCATCTATTGTTTTCTCTTCCTTTAGCCATTTAGTTACTGTACTTGTCTTTAAAAAGCTTGAAAGATATCAAATAAGCACTACTGGAGATATATACCTGGTTTTATTGCTTGTATATTCCTCTCAGAACCATGATGCACTGTGCTGTAAGTGTCCGGTGTTTCTTTGCTGTCCAAAAAAGATGTTAAAGGATTAAAGGAGAGACAGAGGAATGTGAGAGCACAAAGCAGCATCCGTGAGCGATCAACCATTCCAAGAGCAACAGGTGGGGAATCAGGTTCATCTTTAACCTGTGGAAGATTCAATATAGAAGAGTTAGTTCTGAAACACTTAAGACAAATAGTTGCTCTAACTTGCACAAGGCAGAATTTTCAATATCTTCTTTATAGCAGATTTATTCTTCTCTGATTATTTTCTTATAAAAATGTTCCACCATTACAAAATCCCCCCAAAGGCCACTGAATTGGAAATAAAAGAAAGCCTGTGGATCTATTCATACTTTTCTCCAAGAGGTGGATTTAAAAGACTTAAATAATTTAAACATTTACAATTTACTAAAATAACTTTTTATTTCAAATCTTATAATGAGATTTATCTTTGATATGTCTAATTATGCTTCTGAAGATCATGGAGCAATTTATGAACTAATCTGTGTACCAATTTTACTGTTGCAGGCTGATATAGTAAATCATACATGCAAGTATAAATAGTCCTCATTAGTGTTACCAGACACTCACAAAAAAATCTGAAAAATTTCATTTTTGTTGTAATCCAACCATCAATCCCAGTCCATTTCAATTTGAAGTTTCAGTCTGAAATTACCCATATACCATTTCTCTTGCAGATGCCTCTATTTATTTTTATCTCAAACTTGTCTCAAATATCCTGTTCAAATGCAGTGATAGTATATCTCCAACATTTTAGCAACTCGCATGATACACTGATATTGAGAAAGGCTTTATCCCTCTGAATGTTCTGCTTTATTCAACTTTATGATTTCTTTAATATAAAGTAAAATATTGCCCCAAACGTTGTAGGACTTTTTATGGACTTTGGTACAGGATTTCTCATAATGAGAAGAGCTGAATCTGATAAGTCTGGAGGATTCAGTTGGTGGAAAAAAATGCCATTGCTCATTATTGATCAGTGATCTAGAAAAGTCAATGTAAAATGTCATAAATTACTGAAGATACAACTTTATACTAATGGGAAGCAGATGATATATCTCTATCTGAATCAGTATCACACATGGGATCTTGTCTATGCTTCCCAGTGCAAATTATATTAGGAATATTAGCTACCTTTGCATCATCCAATAGTGGACTTCCTGGTTCTGAATCAATTGAATAAGGGGAAAAGCCTGCTGGTGATCCTGAGTCAGAAGCTGGAGGGGACATCAATAGAGCATTTTGATTGAATTCATCCATCTTCAGATCCACATCGTTGTCCACTAGACTGCTTAAGTCAAAACCCTTTAACAACTCTGTGAGAAAAGATCACACTGATTAATTATTCCATTTGCAGTACCTCATGTAATTAAATCCCCACTTATTAATTGCACATCTATCTGCTAAAGGCATAATCAATTAGAACATCAATCAATGCAAGGGGACATGAAATCATTTAATTAACTTTGATAATACCTCCTTTACTTAAATTTAAAAAATGAAATGTAATATTTAAAACACTTAACTGTTTTTCTGGCTAGACAGCTTAAGGATCATGTTCTCCTGTCGCAATTTATGGTTAACCTGCTGTAGGTATTTAATGTAGTCAATAGCTTTCCTCAATACACCAGACTTGTGCATCTGAAAAGAATGCATATGATTGTTTATTTAGCTACCTTGTCATCTCTTATCACATTTTTATTTAGCAGTAAACATTTTCTTAAATTTGTGTATGTGTATATAGAGAGAGTTATCTTGAGGTAAGATGGGCAGCCTATAAATTTTAAAAATAAATAGGGGATTTAGTGTTAGAGAACCTGTTAAGTATAGTGGTTAAGGTACTGACCCAGAAGCCAAAAGCCTGTAAGTTCTAGGCCTCCTTTAAACAAAGCTGCTTGGGTGACTTTGGACCAGTCATTCTGTCTCACACCAATCCACCTCAAAGGGGTTGTTGTTACAGGGAAAGTAGGAAGCAGAGGTATTAGATATGTTTATTGCTTTGAGCGATATGTAAAAAGGGCAGGATAAAATTATAGTTGGTCACACAATCAGCAAGATATTCAGATTGGATTTGGCATTTTTAGCCATCTATTGAGTTCTTCCCAAAAACTATTATTATTATTTAGAGATTTAATTCAATGGAAAGGGACATCAACAAGAATATTAAATAGCATGCCAACTGCAAACATGACAAATAGATTTGTAGCTATTGCAAATATTTTTGCTTTTTCAACTAAGCAATTCTTACTTTAGCATCTGTTCCCATGACTAGATCTTTCAGTTCTATGATCTTGTCGTTTATAGATGATCGATATCTCTTCTCAATAATATTATGAGTTGTTCGCCTTTCTCCTTCCTTTGGTGGTTCTGGCTGCTTGGTGTTATTAGGCACTTGTTTAATGGGCATCTTCTCCTGCCCTCCCATCATCATAGGCATAGTTGTCAAGATGGCCCCATTGCTACCAACCAAAGTCTAAAAAGTCAACAGCAGAAATTAATTTTTCATGTAAGATCTGTGACATGGTTTTCATATGTACAGTTAAAAAAAGATTTAAAATAAACAATGGCACATTTGGAACTGAACAATATAAGACAAAATTTGAAACTGAATTATGGGCAAATGATGAACATGTAATTGTTAAAATGTATACGCTTTTACCAAAATCTGAAATGAAAACAGGTTAAACAGCATATGATAAAATGAGCTAAGAATGTTGTTTATAACATACAGATGTAACCAAGGAAAAACATGTGGCTGAAAGGACTGAAATTCACATGTATGTTTATAAAAAAATTATAAAATGAAGTACCATTGGCATATGAAACCAGAAAAACTATCTAGAATGTATCAAGATATTTCAAATCTATGTTGGAAATGTGGAAAACATGAAAGGTTGTTTTATCATGCTTGGTGGACTTGAAAAAAGCTAATAAATTTTGGATTCAAATGCATATAGCAATATAAAAATTTTAAAGATTAACATACAACTGAAACCAGAACTTTCATTACTAGAGCTAACAGACAATTAGAAAAATATTATGGTGTTTGTACATGGTAACTGCAGTGAGATTATTATATATAGGAAAGATGGAAAAATTCTGTAATACCAACAGTGAAAGAGCAGTTGGTGAAAATGACAGAATTTGAAGAAATGACAAAACTGACTTGTTTGATTAGGGAAAAGACAACTACTTTTGTTAGTGAATAGAAACTCTTTATGGATATGAAAATGGAAAAAATAAATGTAGTATATGGGTTTGATGATTAGAAAGAACAGAATATGGAAAGAAGGGAGTCACAATGTAATCTTAATGAGGATAAAATAAAAATGTATTTATAACTGCTATAAAGGAGATTGGAAGCCATTGCTTTACCTGTTCTTTTCTCTCTCTCTCTCTCTCTCTCTTTCTTTCCTTATCACTTTTACTTTCCTTATCTTTTTAAAATTTGTATTGTTCAGTAAAATAATTCTTTAATAAAAATTAATAAAAATATGTAATCAAAATAAAATTCTACATTTTACAAAACAACTGGGAAACAAAAGAATGGCTCACAATTCAGCAGTAAGATTATGTTCTATATAAATAAGATTTCATATTCTCTATATCAAAAATCTGGATAAAGAGGCTGGGAAACACCCATCACTAAATACCAAGAACAGTTCTTATTTATTACAAAACCCTAAAAAAAAAACTAGATAAACCAGTGACAGCTATAAACAATGCACTCTCCTATGTTCTTAAGAATTCATAAATATTTCTGGATTCCAGTGGAATAACAATGCCACTATTTATTTTATTTTTTTTTATTGAAAATTTTTATTTTTTAAAACATACAATCATTTATAAAAATACAATAAAATTTTAAAATAGAGAACCCCCCCCCTTACGCTCCCTCCCACCCCCACCCCCCCTCCCTTCACTTCCCAGAGCAGAATACAGGGTTAAAAAAAAAAAAGAAAATTATAATTAAGAAAAAAGAAAAAAAAAGAGAGAAAGAAAAAAAAATATCATAATTAACCTTTAACTCCATAACTTATAAAACAATTCTCTATAATATTTGATATTCATTCATAAAATAAATAAAACTTTTTAATTCCATATTTTTTCTGAATATAATCTATCCACCTTCCCCATACAGTAATATATCTTTCTTGTGTATGATCCTTTAAATAAGCAGAAATTTTTGCCATTTCTGCAAAACTAGATACTTTAAATATCCATTCTTCTAAAGTAGGCAAAGAATCTTTCTTCCAATATAAACCTACTAGTAACCTTGCTGCAGTTAATAAATTCAACATCAAAGTAGTTTCTTTTTCATTTAAGTCAACAAAAATACCAAGTAAAAATAGTTGAGGAGTAAACTTTATCTTTTTTCTAAAAATCTTTTGAATGTTCCACCAAATCATAATCCAAAAAGCCTTTACTTTTTTACAATTCCACCAAATATGAAAGTATGTCGCATCATTATTGCCACATCTCCAACATTTGGGCTGTATGTTGGAATACACACAAGATAATTTTTTAGGATCTAAATGCCATCTATAAAACATTTTATAAAAATTTTCTTTCAAATTTTGAGCTTGTGTAAATTTAACATTTCTTGTCCAAATTATCTCCCATAAATCCAATGAGATCGGCTCCTGTATATTCTGAGCCCATTTAATCATACAATCTTTAACCAATTCTGTTTCCGAATCTAACTCTAATAAAACATTATATATTCTTTTTATATGAGCCGGACCTTGGTTTTTAATCTGAATAACCAATTGTCTATCTTCTAGTGTTATTCCCTCTTTCTTGTCTACAGTCCATCTATCCATTATTTGTAAATATTGAAACCATGACTGTAGAATATTTTGCTGCCTTAATACATCTAGGGATTTCAAATGCCAATTCGAACCAGAACAAATTAACAATTCTTTGTATGAAATTTTATCAAAATTTGTCCCCTTAGAGGTTCCCTCAATTGCATGTCTGGGAATCCCCCAGATAGGTATTTTATAATTTAATCTATAATAATACTTCTTCCAAACACGAAGTAAGGCATTCCTCAAAATATGTGATTTAAAAGTCCGATCAACTTTCTTATTAAAAATTAAATATGCATGCCAACCGTATATTAAATCCCAACCTTCCAAAAAAAGAATATCCATATTTGTTAAATTAAGCCAATCACTTAACCAAGTTAGGGCGGCTGCATCATAATATAATTTCAAATTAGGTGCCTTAAGTCCCCCTCTTTCTCGAGCATCCTGTAATATCTTAAATTTAACCCTTGGTTTCTTCCCGGCCCATATAAAATTATTGATACCCTTTTGCCATTCCTCCAAATTTGCCTCTTTTTTAAGAATAGGTATCATCTGAAACAAAAAAAGAAACTTTGGTAGAACATTCATTTTTACAGCTGAAATTCTCCCCAACAATGACAATTGCAATTTTTTCCAATCTCTTAAATCCTTTTGGACTTTTGCCCATAGTGGTTCGTAATTGTTCTTATACAATTTTCCATTTGAAGCAGTTAGATATACTCCCAAGTATTTAACCTTTTTTACCATCTGAAAACCTGTGGCTTTAATCAAACTTTCCCTTTCTTTAACTGACATATTCTTAGATAATATCTTAGTCTTATAATTATTAACTTTAAAACCAGAAACATTCCCATACTGTGTTATAAGTTCTAATAAACCATCAATCGCCTGATTCGGCTGTTCCAAAATTAAAACCAAATCATCCGCAAATGCCCGCAATTTATACTCATTCTTCCTTATCTTTACACCCTTAATTAACTTCGATTCCCGAATCTGAATCAATAAAATTTCCAATGTTAAAACAAATAACAATGGGGATAATGGACATCCTTGTCTTGTCCCTTTTTGAATATTAAAATTCTCAGTCAATCCCCCATTTACAACAATTTGTGCAGATTGCTGCTGATATATAGCTTTAAGTGCATGTAAAAAATTATCCCCAAAATTCATTTTCTCTACCAAAGAAAATAAAAATTGCCAGTCCAATTGATCAAAAGCTTTTTCAGCGTCCAAAAAGATAAAAGCCCACAGGAATCTGATTATTCTTATCCAAGTACTCAATTAAGTTAATAATTTGTCTAACATTATGTTTCATATATCTCCCTGTTATAAATCCTGCTTGATCACTATGAATCAAGTCTTTCATAACCTGCATTAATCTATTTGCCAAAATTTTTGTAAAGATCTTATAATCAACATTCAATAATGAAATTGGCCTATAATTCTTAGGCTCTGTAAGATCCTGATCTTCCTTCGGAATCAGTGATATAAAGGCTCTTTTCCAAGAAGGAGGAACTTGCATACCCAACAAAATACTATTAAAGAGTTCCTTTAATGGCTCTATCATTTCTTCAGATAAGATCTTATAATACCTAGAAGTCAGTCCATCTGTTCCAGGAGACTTTCCAACCTTTAACTGCTTAATAGCTAAACCAATTTCCTCCACAGTAATTAAACTATTCATCCCATTTTGTTGTTCCTCTGAAAGTCTAGGAAAATGTACTGATTGTAAATATTTATCTATATCCAAACCCCTTATATTATCACTTGAATATAATTTTGTGTAAAAGTCCAAAAAGCTTTTTCTAATCAAATCTTGCTGAAAAACCTCAGTACCTTTATATTTTACTTTCTCTATAATTCTAGCTTTCTGTTTCTTTCGTAACTGATAAGCCAACCACCTCCCAGGCTTATTCGCATTGCAAAAAGTATTATGTCTCATGTACGACAGATTGGTAGCCACCTGATCTGCCATCAACATGTTAAATTGTTCCTTAAGCATCTTTATAGATACCTTTAAATTATTATCAGTAGGGTTAAGAACCAACTCTTGTTCTTTTGATTTGATCTCTTCTTCTATTTCTCTACGTCTTTGTGACCCTTTTTCCCTAAAAACTTTATTCAATTGAATCAAAATTCCCCTCATATATGCTTTACTAGCGTCCCACACCATAGACATCGATGTTCCCTTATTCATATTTATAGTAAAAAAGTCCTTTAAATGTTCTTTACACTTTTGTACGAACTCCTCCCGATTAAATAAGTTCTCATTCAATCTCCAGGATCTTCTATTCCCGTCTTCCGAATGTAACTCCATCCACACAGGACTATGATCTGACAATGTTCTAGGAAAAATTTTCACCTTCCTCACTCTAGGGAGGAAGTCACTAGTAATCAAAAAAAAATCAATCCTTGAAAATGACTGGTGTCTATCAGAATAAAAGGTAAAGTCTCTATCACTTGTATTCCTTTCTCGCCAAATATCAATAAGCTCCAGTCTTCCTTCAAATCAAAGAAAGTCATAGGTAGTTTAGTTTGAATAAAAGTTTTAGAGGAACTTCTTTTGTCTATAGTTGGGTCTAAAACCCCATTCCAGTCACCCATCAAAATTACCGATTTATAATCCAACTGAGATATCTTGCCATGCAGCAACTTATAAAAT